AAAAATAAGATAAAGATTTTATATTATACTAAAGGACTATTGATCAATGGAAAATGTCTCTTCACGGGACAATTGAATTAATTTTGGAGGAAACTATTTTGTAGTTTCTACCTTGGGCCAATAGTGAAATATTCTCTCTAAATGAAATTATCTCTAAATGAAATCAGTTATATCGCAAATTATTTGTTGATGATTAGAAGTTAAGCACGAGTCGATGTTCAATGACAATTATTATGCTCGTTTGCCCAAGATGAATATTATTACTAATCACTACTTGACATGTCAATTTCTTTAATTTGTCATCAATAATCATGAGTTTGTAACTTGTACCATCCACAAGTGACGAACAAATACTTGGCAATTACCAGTCTTTGGTGACTTGAAAAAAATAATATAACACATGTATATCTTCTATACTATCTCCTATGAACAGACCTAGCTACTGTTTTTACAAGAAATCATTAGCCAACTTTTGTGCAAAAGAACCTTAACGGAAAGCATTTTGGGGCTAGATAGAAATGAAAACTCCCCCAGTTCTAAATGAAATCCGGCGATTCTTTATTACAAAAGAATAATCAATTAAAAAAATAAGCCATAATAGGGTTTTCAATTTTCTAGATCACTTCATTCAAAAGTAAAAATGAAATAACATAGACAATAATCCTGTGAATAAATCAAAAGGCAATATGAAATTCATGAAGAAGGGATTATTTTTGGCTCTAGACTTGCTTGTTGTCCGACATGACATAATTGGAGTGGTTTAGGATCGACGTTGTTGTGATTCAAATGCACACACTAAATGTTCATATAGATTTTTACACCTATGTAATTTTTGTCCAACACTCTTAAAATGTTGAATAATACTATTCAGTCTCATCGATGCTTAGCAGTCTATAACATAGACAATAATCATGTGCATATATTTGAAAGAAAAATAATCCTGTGCATATATTTGAAAGAAATATGAAATTCATTAAAAAAAGATTATTTTCGATGCTTGGCTTGCTTGTTGTCTGATATAGCATAATTTGAGTGGTTCAGGGTCAACATTGTTGTGGCTTGAATGCACAATATACATGTTCATATAGAACGTCACACCGATGTATTTCTTGTCTAGCACTCTTAAAAATTTTAATAGCGCTATTCAATTCCATTGATGTTTAGCAGTCTAATTGTCAATTAATTAATTTAATATTCTAAATATCACATACTTAAAAGAAGCTTAGAGCCTCCTGGATGTAAATCTTTGAGAATATATCTTACGAAAAGTAATATTTTGAAAAGAATTATGCTATGTAATATAAGTGATGTCGAACGTTGTTCTAGTTGCCATCATATCATAAATCCTCATATTATAGCATCATATCATATATCCTATATAATGGCTCATAATTCTTTGTACATAATTGAATCTTTAAATTAATAATACTAATTTTATGATCTAGACTGATGTTAAAAATCAATTGTGTTAAATAATATTATTCTTTTTTGAAAATGTATTATAAAAAAGTAGGAAAAACTATGAATTTTATTGGAAAAATGTGTAACTAGAAATATATTTTAAAGAATCTGTAATGAATATGAGCTTAATTGATTGGGCTAATATTACTCTAAAAAAGTGGATTCCTTTTTTATTCATTTATTTCATTGTCATTCTAACACTAGTAAAAAGATTCGCTCAAATTGGAGTTTCACCTATCAAAGAAAAAGCAGAATCCTATTCCAAATAATTTATTAGAACCTGCTTCTTTCTGAACAATTTGCTCACACACGCACTGAAATGGGAAGAGGAAAGTTCAAGGGCAAGCCCACTGGCCGTCGCCAGTTTTCGACTCCTGAACAGATAAGTATGTTTTGGTGTTCCCATCCTTCTCGGTTTTTGTCGATAATAGTTGGCATGTATCCGTGCATATNGACTCCTGAACAGATAAGTATGTTTTGGTGTTCCCATCCTTCTCGGTTTTTGTCGATAATAGTTGGCATGTATCCGTGCATATATTTGTATAGCTGTTTTTATATTTTTGACATTCTCTTGTTTGTTTTGAGATGAAATTGGATTAGTATGTGTTTGTGGTTGGATTGGGATCTTTGTAGAAAGTGAGGGATTTTATATTGTCGATTTTTGTGTTGGGAAATAAAATGGATATGAAGTATATGATCGCAAACGAACAACAAAAATTAATTGGAGAAAACAACAGAAACATAGTATTTTATTCAATTAACTAATATGGAGAAAAAAAAAATACAACAAATGTGCGTACACTATTATTTTATATTTTAGTAATAATCAACTTGTAAAGAATAGTCAATTAGGGGGCATATCAAAACCCTAACAATATTTTTAAAAATGGAAATAGTTTTGAAAAAACGCAACAAGGGAAATAATATTTTTCCAATAAGAGTGCCTGGAACAAAGGAAATAATACTTTTTCAATAAAATCCAACCTAATTTGGGTAACACCTTGATACAAATTCCAATGCAATGAATAAAGCTAAAAAATTTAATCCGACTGCAACGAAAAATCTGAACTCTTTAACAAGTACCAAACTTTCTTCAACACAAAAATACTCTTCCTCTTCTATGGTATCCAACACGGTACATGAACCCAAGTGCTAGGTTCCCCAAAATCACAAAAATTTAGAAAATATCAAACAGTATCGAAGAGCACCCTATAGTATAATCAATTCCCAATTCTTTCATAAAAGGTCCCTACCGAGTCTCAACACCTTTAAAAATGCTAAAAGCATGTGCAATCTAGTCAGTATCCACTTTCCTATCTCCAATGGGTCTATCTTTAATAGCCGAATATGATGAAACCACATGTAATGGTGGCAAAACGGAATTATCCATATCTTCCAAACTCGACTGAGTTGTATTCTTCAATATAGACCTCGAACCAAATCCTAAAGGTACAGTACCAAATTGTATCTCCACCATGATACTAAATTTTTACTGATTTTTCTTCACAAATTTTGCCCAACCTTACAAGATGTATAATTGGGACCTCTTCTACTCTTTCAATACAACTTGAACACCCTTTCGAATCCTTTAGATCCCACCACCTCCAGAGAACGTGTACCATTTTGAATCAATAGTACTCAACGAAATAAGATTTTTCTCCAAGTTTGAAATGTATCGAACGTGATCAAGTGTTCTACGTAATCCATGCACATGCTTCAATCTAACTCTATTAATACCAGCTACCCAACAAAGTTCGTTGTGACCTATAACAATGACACATTGTGTCATCATTTCATATGTTTCAAACAAATCCCAATTGGGACACATGTGAAGCGCACAAGTTGTATCCGAAATCCACTCTTCACCGGGTTTGGATTTCATGTCAGAAATTGTCAAAATATCTCCATTACTTAAATAGTTCCCGGTTACGTTGGTCTCGTCTGAAGTATTTGATTGCTTCACATGATTTGCAGTCGAATTACCTTTGTTCTGCAATTTGTTGCAATCCCTCTTAAGTGTCATTTCTTCTTAGAATAATAACAAAACTAATTACATATTTTTGACCTCGACTTATCCCTTCTCTGATCCCCATGAACAATAAGGTCTTTTCCATCTCTGGCCTCAGATCCAACCAGATGCTTTATCTTGTTTTTTGAAAACAAACTATCATACACATGTTCAATGGTGAGAGTATCACGACTATATAAGATCGTATATCTAAACGAAGTAAATAAAGCAGACATTGAATACAAAATGATTAAGGCCAAATCTTCTTCATCATATTTTACCTCTAAAGTCTCCAAACTAGCAACGATCTCCTTGAACACAGCCATATGATCTTTTAAAGACCCACCTTCTACCATGCGATGAGAATACAATTGCTGTTTCAGATGCAATTTGTTTGTCAGTCTTTTAGTCATGCATAATCGCTCCAACTTCAACCATAACACAGTTGCCTTTTTTTTCCTTCAAAATGTCCTAAAGAATATTGTTAGAGAAATGAAGATGGGTTTGTGAAATTGCCTTTCGATCCTTCCGTTGTTTCTCCTCCGTCGTCCAAATTGTGAACACTTTGTCAAATCCCAACAACGCATCATTCAAATCCATTTGCTTTAGTACAACTCGCAGCTTCACTTGCTACAACAATAAGCTTTTATTGCGATTCAAGACGAAATTTCATACTTCATTGCTATCATCAATAATGAAAACCTCAACCAAATCACAACCAATAGTTCCATCTACACTTTCCACAACGAGAATCTTGTATTGCGATTCAAGAACGAAATTTCATACTTCATGGCTACCATCACTAATCAAAACCTCAACCAAATCACAACCAATAGTTCCGTCTTCACTTTCCACAACGAGAATCTTGTATTGCGATTCAAGAACGAAATTTCATACTTCATGGCTACAATCAATAATCAAAACTTTGAACATATCACAACAAATAGTTCTGATACCATTTGTTGGGTGATCTTGAGTCTTCTCAATCTCAAAAGCTCGCTTAAGAGGTGAGATTTTCCTTCGCACTTAATAATTGACCATCAACCTCTTCCACAATCGATGTGAGATAACCTCAAAATTTTGATGCTTTAATGTTTACAATTTGCTTGGATTAACTACTGTTAATTAAAGTGGCTATTCGTGCATACTTGGATTCACATGTTTTGTTAAGGCGAATTCTTTAAATGTTCGTACTTAAGTAAATCCTTGAATATTTAATACTTCTTTTCTTGAATTGCTGATATATGGAGATTTATAATCAATTTGCCATTGATATCTACTTGTATACATGAGAAATGTGTTAGCTCCAAAAGTAGAATGACCCAAAAACTTGCTTTGACTATAAATTTAAGTGTTTAAAAAGCAAAAAATGTGAATTTCAATTTATGTGCTTAGAAATCAATAATATATGAAATTAATGAGCTTCGAAGCAGCTATAGCAGGTGAAAGAGAGATGGAGGGGAGGGATTGTTTAATTTTACTATCTTGTTTGGCAGTAATTAGTTTTATTTTCTCCTTGACTCAAAACTTCCCTTTTTTCGGATAATTCAGTGGCTGGTACCTCTGCTTCACGGCCTCGTACGTTTAAGAAGGTACATTGTTTTCCTTTAACTTTACACCCTATGATATTTCCATAGACGTGCTACTGTTTTAGAAACTAATGATGTTATTTAGCCCTTATTTGAGCCACATTATTTTCTAAAAAAAAAAAAAAAAAAAAAAGAAGCATTTTTAAATAGTATATTGATGGGAAATGTGTGGTTAAAAAATAAGGAAAAGTTTTGAATTTGTGTGTAATATTATTTTATTAAAAAATGTGATTGAAATGATGTCAAATCATTGTTTAAGAATGTATTTTTCATAAAAAATGTGGTTCAAACTGGGCCTTAAACTTCGTATCCTGTATCTATTTATATATTATTATATTATGTTTCAAAAATGCATTGGGACTCGCAATTTTTTGTGTTTTTAAGTTTATGAACAGTGAAAGTGACGTGATTCATTAATTTTGTGCAACATGATGATGTGAAAAGATTTTTGAAATTGATAATGATCGTTCTTTTCTAAATGAACCGCCTGCACAAGTGGTGGAGGATGTGATTTAATCCGATGCAAAGTGAAGAACCTGGCAGCTCCTTTAACAAGCTAATCAAACATGAGAAATTGGCATCTTTGACCCCATAGCTATTCTGCACCTTTTGAAACTTAAGAAGTGAATATCCACAAGTGTTTTATGGATATTGGTGAGGGAACTGGGGGTCATATTGACCGCTGATATAACCAACAGAAAATGGAATTTGAATATATTACTTGATTAATGTCTCTTTTCTTTTTTATCTCTTTCTCCGCTGGTGGACCCAATCAGTTACTGGATCTTAGATGATCCAAGTATAGTTCTGATTTCCGTACAATCGCATTTTCTTTCCTTTCAGTTATGTTTTATCTATGTTGTTGTATAACAGGAAGAAGCTGAGCTGGAAGAAGAGGAGAGATCTGAAGAAGAATCAGAAGAGTCATCTAAGGATGGAGCTGAAACTGAAGTCAGTAAAATATGGCTCATTGCATTTTTCATTTTAGAGGGTTCTTGATTAGTGCATTTTGAGGTGTCTTTAATGAAATGTCTAGACAAATAAACATGTGCACTCTTTTTTGTCAATGCTGTACACAGAAGCAGAAAGGCACTCAGGGTATCATTCAGGTTGAAAATCCAAATTTGGCCAAACCAAAGAACGTGAAAGCGCGAGATATCAATGTAATATTCTCATATAAGTTTTATCTGTTCTATTAGTAGTTTGTAGTGTTTATCATTTACTGAATGATCCTTGCATTTGTCAGATGGACAAAACCACTGAGCTTTCTAGGCGTGAAAGGTTTGTGAATACTTATTTCTTGGCATTGGATGTGAATGGAAATGGTTTAAAAATGGTCATCTTTTCCTTCCCTTTTCTCTTGGCACAATATAACATGGATAATGAGATCAGAGGAAGAAAACTGGAAAGGTCCAATTCAAGTATCGAATGCTTGCCCACACATCTTTATATTATTTCCTGGTTCTTATAAATAGTCTCATCCAATTTTCTTGATGTCAATGTTTTTTATTTTTTTGGGGATGCTACACTTCTACCGTGTTGAAACTACCTTATCTTTGTTCTGTCATTTTTTGCAGAGGGGAGATTGAAAAACAGAAAGCACACGAAAGGTACATGAAGCTACAAGAACAAGGAAAGACGGATCAGGCACAGAAAGATTTAGGTAAGATATTTGAATCTGTTCCAGGACTTTGTTTCTTATCTTTTATTATGCGTTTATCCCATTGATTGATCGAGATTTTTAACCTTTCAGAGCGTTTAGCCCTTATACGACAAAAGAGAGCAGATGCCGCTAAAAAGCGAGAAGAAGAGAAAACTGGTAACTGCCTGAGTTGGCCAATACTTATCGCTAGCCCTTTGTGTTTTTTATTTGGAATTCAGTGGGATCTTATTTACATTTTCTTGTCCCTGCAGCCAGAGAGCAGAAGAAGTTGGAAGCTCGCAAACTTGCACCAAGAATTAATGTTAAGCAAGTTTGAGACAAACAATATAAGTTAGTTGGGTCTGAGTCCAAGGATTATTATATTTCTGCATTGGCAATTGTTACAATAGATGTTCACCCCTTAGTCGATGCTTGTTTGTCCATGTTATACATTAAAGATATATAAATATAAATAAAATGAGGTGGTTGATCATCATATTATATAGATGGGTCATTATTTTTCTGAGAAAATAGGTCTCGTCATTTAGTATCATTGTGGAGTGCTCACTTGATATAGGTTGGTAGAAGGAGACACACCCGAGGACGAGCAAGGCAGATCACAGCACACCAATGCAAGGCCATCGATCCTCATAGGGCGTTCTACCACTACATTTAGGGAGCGCTCTACCACTACGTCTAGGGAGCGCTCTACCGCTACCCCAAGAAATCATTCTACCACTAAGCGAAATCTTCAACGGGAATGATATCCTTTGTCCAAACACTTAGCCATAAAACCTTTAACGAATCGACAAGGTTACATGGCCGCTGATACAGGTACAATCTTCAGACGGGAAGTTAAGGGCTCATCACTCAGAACGTGGGTGTAGTGGGAATATCATCCTGGGACACGTGGCATCACAACCGCCCAGTGGTTACCTAGTGCCTAATATCTATAAATACCCCCGGATGAGACGCAGGTAAGGGATGATTTTTTTTAGCTCTCATTCTCGTTTTTAGCCATCTGATTTTCAAATATATTCTTTCCAAGTCTGAAAACTAATTCTCACGCCGGAGGTAAAACGGGGGAGAAAGCCCCGCCTTCATTTTTCAGGTCTTGCATACTTGACGGAGTGGTGGAAACGCCAAACATTACCGGGTAACTAGAAGGGTGTTGAATCACCACCTTTCATCACTGCTCACTATTTGGAGGAAAGAAAGACAGAAAAATTTCCATTTCAACTTTTCTTTGGCATAATGTACGAAAGTTAGAGTAAATGGTAATTATTAATTTCGTGGTGCCGTTCTCCTATAACGTCGGAGTTGGACCTCAAGGATTAAGCCAGAGATCTAAGTTAAAAAAATAAAAATACAGCCCAAAAGATTTGTATATTCTAAATGGGGCCTTTTGCAATTACTTGTTCGGGTTCTAATCTTTGTAAAAATATTATTTCAATACATGATTATAAGAAATTTGTAGTTAATACCCTTTTATTTGATTTTGAGGGGTTAAAAATCACCATGGTGATTGTAATTTCAACTTGGTTTCTTAGGTTATTTTACTTTTAATGTTATTTCTCATCCGTCACCTTCGTTCGTTCCATTAAAAGCATTCCAATTTAGATTCCTAACAGAAGAATAATTAGTTTTTTTTTTTTAAACGATCTGATTGATTGACGGATGAGAGACGAAAGAAATAACTTTAAAATTACAATAACCATTTAAAAAAACTTTGAAGTGATAAAAATTAACATTGAAAGAACATTGGCAATCATTGGACTAGCCTATGTTTTGCCATGTGAAGATTTCATACTAGGTCAATATCTAGGAGGGAAAATAGTTGCGTTATTTAAAATCCCTAGGGTATTTTCAAGAGATTCTTCATTTTTAAAGAGCATATTCTATCACTTGGAGAATATTTATAAATTTAAAGAATTAAAATTTTGAAATACTCCAACAAGCTTTTTGTATTTAACACTTAATTTTACTACTTCCAAAAAATATTTATTATTTTTTTAGTTTAACTAACTTTTCTCCAAATTATTTTATTATTTTCCTATATTGAAAATTGAAACACTTTAAATTTATTTGATTATAGAGAGCCAGTCCCACTCTTTAAATTAAAATGTTATTTTAAACTATTTCTTAAAGCATGATTTTAAGGGATGATTCTATAAATAAAGATCATCCCATGTTTAAAAAGTCTATTGGAGATGCTCTTAGATGCTACCTATACATACGAGAGTGTTGGGAATTCATTTTCCATTTTGGTTCTTCAAAGATTTCATGGAGGAGGGATTTTCTTTAAGCGTTTTGAGAAATCATCACTTACGGATAACATCACAAGCACCTCCTATGAATTCCTTATAATCCCTATCTAACACGTCTTTAGGCAATTCTCTTGCCTAACTAATTTTGCTCGATGAATGTAAAGATTATCCATAATTAGTGACAAGGAAGAAGAAGTTTATGTTTAGTTGTCATTAGATGCTAAGGATATATAGAGATTCATAGGCATAGATTAGTCACTCCCTTCTTACCTTTGATCTGACCAAATTGGAAAACATAAGATTGATTGTGATTCTTCATCTTCTACTTATGGTTCCAATGCCCATGCAATAGAGGAGAGGCGATGCAATAAGGAACGAGCTAAAAGTCCATTCAAGGCGAAACAGTATGATTAAGTAGATTTGGAGTTTATCTAGCTTATAGTAATTGGTGCTACCAAAAATTTGCACCTGGAAAATCCTGAGCTAAATGATGGAAGATGAACACGAATAGAATCTCCCTTATTTGAAACACAGGTATCGAGGTGTGTCGTTATCGCCTCTTTGATACTTAAGTTAGCGAGAGAATTTATGTGTGAAGCTATAAACTGAAAAAGTATGTGAAAATGTACTTGGATAATGGACAAAGGCCTTGTATTTATAGAGGTAGGCAGTGCAGTGCTAGTAGAGTTAGATCACTTGAATGCTTTACCTTATTTAAGAGTCCTTCATGAGGTAAACATTGGAGTTCTACTATAATTGTAAGAGAAATCATAGTTGGGAGACAATAGAGTTGTAGAGGTTGTCTTTTTAGGTTTGAGGACCCGATAGAAAAAAAAGGGAAATGGTAATGAGGAGCATGAGATGTCCAAGGACTTCAAGTCTGAGGTTGAGCCCGAGGATGTTCTGGCTCTATGAGAGAGCTCGAGACCATATGATCTCAGGCCTAAGGTCGAGCCCAAACCACATGAACTCGAGGATGTCCTAGCCCAAGAAGAGTACTCGATGTTATCATGACCTTGAGCATGTGATCAAATTGTACAAAAAATGTTCACAACAGTGTCTTTATACATCCATGTTTGAGACTCGATGATGTTGCTTAGAATGCTCGAGGCTCAAGGATGAGTTGCAGAATTCTCGAGGAGAGTGTAGATTGATCAAGGTCGAGAATGAGGGTAAGTTGATACTTTTTGAGCTCATAGAATAGGCCATATCTCCAGCCCCCTCTTATGATTTTCCTTTTTGTAATAAAGCGCTTTATTTTTTGTGAGAAGTGTTTGTTTGAATGAAAGTACTTGATTTTCACCTCGATGTTATAGAACTTGAGGTTGGGGTTGAATAACACCAACTTTGTATGAAAATGAAAGATATGGGATTGAACCTTGACATTGTATAGATTTGAAAGGTGGATAGGTTAAACCTTGTACAAAAATGAAAAGAAAGGAGTTGAACCTCAACCTTGTATAGATCTGAAAGGTAAGGTGTTGTATCCGACCTTGTATGAATTTGAAAGACGGGTGGTTGAACCTCGACCTTGTGTAAATTTGAAAGGAAGGGTGTGTGAACTTTGACCTTATATAAAACTGAAAGGGAGGAGTGTTGAACCCCAACCTTGTACAAAATTCAACATACAATGCTTTATAGTTTTCAGTGTTATAAGGTCGGTTCTTACTTGACATTTTTTAAGACTAAATTTGTAAAAATATGTCTGAGGTGATTGTACCAGGTAAGCGGGAAAGGCTTGGAGGTGCTTGTACGAAGAAAGGGTTGATATGCTTGCGTGGCACAAGGCTTAAGATGCTTGCACGTGGTAAGGCATTTAGGTGCTTGCACTAGGCAAGACTTTTTGTGCTTGTGCGGGGCAAGACTTGAGGTAATTTCATGGGGCAAGGCTTGAGGTTGTTGCACAGGGCAAAGTTTTTGCGTGCTTGCATGGGACAAGACTTTACGTGCTTTCACGGGACAAAGATTGAGGTGGTGCTTGTACGGGAAAAGAGAGAAGTAAGGTTTTTAGGTGCTTGTTCTAGGTAAGGCTTGAGATGCTTGCTCAGAATAAGACTTTTAAGTGCTTGCAATGAGGGATGTCAAAGCTTGAGGTGCTTGCACAGGGAGAAGATAAGGCTTTTCGATACTTGCACGGGGTAAAGCTTTATGTTTTCACACGAGCAAAGTTAGGTGCTTGCTCGAAACAAGACTTTTAGGTACTTGTGTGGGGCAAGGATTTTAGGTGCTTGCACGTGGTAAGACTTTTGTCACATTACAAATGGAAAAATTGACTTTATTGGGATAAGATCTTGCGACAACTTAATTGAACATAACTTGCTCTAGCTAGAAATGAAATATGGACGTGTAGGCTTGACCAAACAAATAATGAAAATAAGTGTAGCATAAAAGTCCAAGAAGAAACATGTAAGACTCTAGTACTTCAAATATATGACATTGACCAACTAAACAATGAAATTGATAATGTCCTTTATTAGTTGATTACTCTTCTCGACTTTCGAGGTATTCCCTTTGTTATGATCATTCCTTGAACACTTGTCTTGACTGATATATCCCTTAAGAATCTCGTCTTGATCAAAGACTATACCTTGTGCTGCAATACTTTGTATGTCTTCGTGGTATGCCCATGGTCCTGATGAAAATCACAATACTTGCTTTTATCTCTAGTGTCAGAAGAAGATCTCATCCTCGAGGGCCATTTAAGTTATTCAAGGTCCTTACTCTCCATTAAATTGTTGGACTTAGAGGTGTTCTTGATGAAAATTACAATACTTGCTTTTATCTCTAGTGTCAGTAGAGGACCTCATCCTCAAGGGCCATTTAAGTTCCTTAAGGTCCTTACTCTCCATTAAAATGTTGGACTTGGAGGTGTTCATATGTGTGAATGATGTGGTGGTTCGTCCTACTTCTATTTAGCCACTATCCTACCATATGTTGGACTCATGTTGCCTTTCGTGTTTTGGCTTCTCAGAGGTCGGGCATACCATCATTAGATACATGGTTTCCTCAATATTGATATATTTTTCACCTTGTGTGGTTGACTTGATCACGAACTTTGGTGGGCTTTTTTACAAAGACATTTTGAATGATTCACATCTTATGGCATACGTGAAGGTTGAGATAGTGGCTATAATGTGAGGTCGGGTGTCTGGAGCTTTTCTGCACTAAACCTTGTCATGAAATCATGTAGGGGTTCATTTTGCCCTTAGCAAATCTACATAAGAGATGCGACAATCTT